ATCCCCTCCCTTGCTGGCCAATGGTAGGGGCCTATAAAGAGGAGGCTTGTTTGCCTTTTTAGGGTTGCCTTTTCCATTGGATTCACTGATTAATTGGGGCATTCCATACTTCTTTCTTTCTTGCCCGCTCTGCCCCTTACTATCTAGCGAAAATAATAGGAGGTCGGGCAACTCCATTTTAGGATCTCCTCCAACACTGGCTGACTAGCTCCAGATCCTTCCTTGTTTTTTTCTTTATCCATCTTTTCCTCAAGCAAAGGAAACAGGGGGATAACTGGTTCTTTCTCAGGACTAGCCTTTCTAATCACTTCCCTGGCATAACCATTTTTTGGAGTAGAGTACTCCAAATCTAATCTTTTTTGCAAACTATTTGTTAAAGAACAGAGTCTGCTTACTTCTCCTCTAGTTTCCAGAGTGATCTTCTCCATACTTTTTAGCACTTGTACCATGGTCGCTTGCAAATCTTCATTGATCATATTTCCTCTTGACTTCTTAAATGAAGTTGGGCTCTCTAGAATAGCTGGCCTTTGCAGGGAAGGAAAATCCTCTGGATGATTTATCATGCTCAATCTTGGTAGACACTGGGGTAGCCCGTATTCTGTGCTCCTCCTGAAGGTTTTCTCCTTCCTCATTTTTCTTGGCATACAAGACTAAATGGTATCCCACTAGGCGTGCCAAAACTATGTTCGGGCAAAGATTTCTTTGGAGAAGGATCCTCGGACCTCAGCACAACTCCCTAAAGGATTGGCACTTTGGATGTGTTGTTGGGCTTTCGCTTATTCATGTGGTACAAGAAGAAGACAAAGTTAGTTCTGAAAGGTGCCTTTATGGGGCCTTAGGTGTAGGCCTTGAGGCTCGCAATCAAAACTGACTAAGTGCTAGGCGTGCCACTGCTATCTCAATATAGCAGATGTAGAACAATAATGTTTTTAGTCGATTACTTGAGCCTCTAGTTACTCGGATTTATTATTATCAAAGGATTGTCATGGATGAGTTAAGTTCACATGAAGTTCTTTTTCTTGCCTTGTAAACAAGGACTTTTAGTTCATAGTCTTGTATGTTCAAATGAAGGGAGTCCATGCCCCTTTAAGCCGTCTGCTTGGTTCTTGATTGATTTTAATGATAACATATCCATTAAACTAACCAGATCCAGATGCAAATAGAACTCTAAAAATAGGAAAACTAATGGAAATAACTTGAATACATACTAGATAATGCATTAAGTAATAGATCTACAAATTTAGAAAACAAACAATGAGCGTCAGGCAAGATTTCGCCTTGTTTGTCAAGGTTAAACCTCTTACAATCACTTCTCTTTGAATTAACAGGGAGATATCAGAACTTTAAACTAGACAAGAGATAGTTTGTTGCTAAAAATGACTGAATCTGGGTTGATTTCAGCTTTTGAATGCAAATGTGGTTTGAGAGCAGAGTTTGTATGTTTGTTTATTTGGTTGGTTGAGTGTCTTTGTCTCTAGGGTCTCTTCCTCCTTTTATAGGCCAATTAGCCCAACAGCTGTGACTTTCCTCTTGCCCGAAAGCATCTGAAGGGTAGTAAGTCATCGGCCTTTTTACTTGTAATACCACTAGAAGGTGTTTTTTGGCTGGTAGTAGGTTAATCTTCATCACTTGTCTCTTCAATGGTAAGAACGTGGCTTGTATCTTGGCTGAGAAGGCTTCACTTTGCCTTTAGGCTTGGTGTTGGGCTTCGAGCAAGTCCCCTTTTAGTTGGCATCCTTGGGCTTTCCTTCATCTAGGTCCAATGTTCAAATATTAACCCAAACAGAAGCATATAATCTAAGCATATTATGCAGTTGCAGGACAAGTTGTTTAATAGAAATGGTATTAACGGCTAAAGGAGATACCGAGAAGATGTGATTGAACAAAGAAAAAGTTCCCAACAATAATGATGTCTTGCTTATTGTTTTGAAGAGAGCACAAGAGTGTCTTTCAAATATTAACAAATTAGACCCTCAAAAGGAATCATATATTAGGACATGGTAATACGTGTTTTTTAATCTATCAAGATACAGGGTAATACGTGTAAGACGTGTTTTTAAATGTGTAAGACGTGCATGTTTAAGAAAGCCTCTCATACACAGGATATAGTCAATTGGATTTTGACTTCGTCACCAATTATGGTGCCCCATAGAAAAATAAAATAAAATAAACACACTAAAATGTCCTGCATGTCACACTCTAAATCCAAAAAAAAAAAAAAAAAACCAAAAAAAAATTAAAGAATAATGCTATCGCACACTCGTTTTTACTTTTTATACAATTTTTTTATTTTATATTATTGATCTTATTTAATTTATTAGATCCGACGTCTAAAAATTAAAAAAAAATGAACGTGCAAATAGACTGTATATATTATAAACATTAAAATTGATGGAAGAAAGATTCAGAGTGTTAATATAAGAGTTGTTGATGAAGACTAAAGAAGGGAACCCAACTGCCACTTAGTACTATAGTCTGGTGATATTTCTTTTCATTTGGAAGTGAGAGGTCTTAGGTTCGAATCTCGTAGATGGCGAATTCGATAACAAATTAGGTTGTTCATTGTGTATCTTAGCCAAACTTCCCCTCCTTTTAGTATAAAAAATATCGATGTACTCAAAAAAAAAAAAAAAAAAAAGGCCCTAACTGGATATATGTCACATCCCGGCCTGGGCCCCCACCACATCCCGGCCTCGACTCCACCATAGCACGATATTGTCCGTTTTGGGTCCCGATCACGTCCTCACAGTTTTGTTTCTGGGAACTCAAATGAGAACTTCCCAGTGGGTCACCCATCATGGGATTGCTCTCGCACGCTACTCGCTTAACTTCAGAGTTTCCATAGAACTCGAAGCCAGTGAGCTCCCAAAAAGCCTCGTGCTAGGTAGAGATGGGAATATACATATAATGCTTACAGGATTCACTCCCCTGGGTAATGTGGAATGTTACAATATATATATATATATATATATATATATATATATATATATATATAAAATAATCAAAAACCCTAAATTATATTTATTTATTTATTTACAACTAACCTAAATTGTTTAAGTATGCATTTCTCACTTATCAATTAACTCTTTTGATTTGATTTTTATTTTTCTCATTATCGTTTGTAGATTGGCAATGAAAATTTGAAGCATCAATCATGAGCTAATGGGTGGAAATTGCAACATTGATGTCAATATGTAAACTTTCTTTTCAAAAGAAACAATGACATATAGACTTTATAATGGGTATTCCTGAATAATGTAGATATTGTGATGTAGGTTTTATATTTTGACATTTAAGTTGTTTTGTATTTTGCTACGAGTACTTAATGTTTTGATCTACTCTTTTTTTTATTTACTTCTACTTACTATTGTTCATGGACTTTAGGTAGGAACTTGCATCCAATATCCCACGTTGTTTGAGAATTGCATGAATAACATTTAAATCATTACTTTACGCAAAGTGAAAACGAAAAATAGGATAACTTTTTAAGACATGCATGGTAAAGAAAAAGTACCTCTTTGCATAATACATTTAAATATATCTTGACAATTATACTGGAAAAAAAACTAACACAATACATCTTTAGGACGCGTAGTTCCCTTTATGCAAAAATGTCTCGTGCACATACGTTGCGAAGAGGCTAGTATAAATAAAAATACTAATAGAAACAAAGAAAAGATATAAAAATCTTAGTGGGCCCACAAGCCACAAGCTACCTGAATGCTTACATAAGCCACCAAATCGTAAGAAATTTTATAAAAATTATAAAATAAGCCCACAAGCCACAAGCTACAAGCTACATGAATGCCTACATAAAGCCACCAAATAGTAAGAAAATTTATAAAAATTATAAAATAATTATATTCCTCACAATGTTTCTCAATTCTCACTCCAAGAGTCATGTTCCACTTCTCTCTCTCACCCAGACACCCCCTCTCTTGCTTCTCCTGTATCTCCCCTCCTCACTACCTTTTTTTTTTTTTTTACACAAACCATTAAACCATAAAAAGAATTTGATGACATTAAAGAAAATTTTCCAAATCATGAAGACAATTGAAGTGGTAAAGTGGCATAGACTTCGATTAAAGTAAGGTATTACTAGTTCAAGTACATTGAGTTGGAATTGGAAGATTTAGGTATTTTTATTAATAATGATATTTTTTCTTATTGTTTATACTTAGTATAATTTAATTGTGATATTGTTTGAGATATAAAAGATGACACCTACTAAAAATATTCATGTGTCTACTTGAAACGCCAAAGAAAAAAAAGTTGAACGACTGACTCGTCTTGATTTTTTGTTAAAGAAAAAGAATCAAGAAGTTCAAATTTTTTTTTAAGATTAACATAAGAAAGCTCCTTTTATAAATTTGTACAGGATTCCTAAAATCTCAAAGACAACCATGCACGTTATCTATCGGTAGAAAGGGACAGGGCTCAGATAAAATTTAGATTAAACTATGAATTTAGAAGACGTTTCCGGCCCCTCACTCGTCAACAACTCTGGGCTCTCATGTATCTCTCTCGTATAAATAAAGACCAAAGAATCCTGTAAGGGCATTAATTGAGAGCATCAACTGCCGAAGAATGAAATGGAGATGGAGATGGAAAGCTACTGAAGGACAGCAATGTTGGTGTTGGTGTCGTCGTTGGAGGAGTAGCGACGCCCACTGACACTGCCAATCACGAGCTTGCTGCTCAGGTCCCCTCTTTCTCTAATCAATTAAGTTCATTAGTTCCCCTATACCAATTTTCTATATGCAACCTTACCAACTCCTTTTTTCGTATTTTATTTCAACTTTCGACTTCCAGCCCTTGCTCAAGTTGTGGATCGCAGCCTTGTTTTTTTAAAGCTGCATATCAATTTATGGAAGGTGTGTGCGGTTACTCTAAAAAACGCAAGGCTATTGCCTGTTGGTTGGCTGTTTTTTACGTTATGTTACAGTTATTTCTTTATGATTCTAGTCCATGTACGGTTGTGCATCGAAAGGTAGTTGGGAGATGAACGAGATAAATACAACGGAGCAAGCAATTCCAACTAGGTACTACTGCTACAGGTGTCGCCATGTGGTGACTTTACATGTCGAAATGAAATGCCCTTTCTGCCAAGGCGGCTTCATCCAAGCATGCGAGGGTGTTGAATCACTCTACCTAGTCATGCCATCGGAATCTGAGCATTCTGAAAGTGGTTCAGATGGAGAGAGCACCACTGTAATTTATCCTTTGATCAAACAAAATTTTCTGCCCGTATTTGTTTATCATTTGGAGTTCTTTAGAGAAAGGCCCTTGAAACTCCTATTTTCCAAACAAAAATCTACATAATATTAAACATTCAAATAAAATTCAAAATTCAAATAGACTACCATGTAGACAAATTATAACTAATTATTACAACATATTTACAACTTATGCCACAAAATCCTAATTATGTCAATAAATATTGTTACTCACCCTAATCATGATTAGCGACTAACCCCATATGGAAATTTTACCCTTCTTGTATCATAAATATTAGTAACATACATACATATATATATATATATAATATATTAATTTATCCATATTCATAAACTATTATGGGCACATTTTTTGTATATGAAAAAAGAAAATCCTTTGTACAATCAGTTATTTTGCATCAAATAATATTGTTTGATAAAATAACAAACCAATTAATATATTATGTTGTAGGTAAATTATTTTACATAGATTATTACATACATTAGACATTTTTTATTTGTTATTATATATCTATGTTAAAAATAATTTATCTATATTTATATGTAAAATATAAGTAAATTAATTTTGAATCAAATAGCATTTATTTTGTAGGTAAATTAAAATAGTAGTTACATTGTTTTGGTCAAGTTAAACAGTGCCCAAATTATATAGTAAAAACTAAACCAAGACAAATTATCACCATTAAAATAAAACAGTAGGTACATTAGTTTTTTTTTTCTTTCTAAGATTAAACAATAGGTAAATTATGTTGTAGGTACATTATGTTTGTAAAAAAAAAAAAAAAAGGAAAATTGAAAGTAGTAGATATATAATTTTTAATCCAATTTCCTTTATTTATAGGTGAATTATTTGCATGCATTATTACATATATATTGGGCACATTTTATTACTAATATATATGTGTGCAATGATTCACCTATATTATTATATAAAATATAGATAAATTTATTTTGAATCAAATAACATTCCTTTTATTTTATAAGTAAATTATTTGGCATGCTTTATTACTGGGCAAATTTTATAGTGCCCTTTCATATTTTCATTTGGTAAGAAAATGACAAGATTAAATTAAAATTGTTTAATTTTATGCAAATTGAAAAACAATTACAAAATATTAAAGAAAGTATAACATAGTGCTTTTTGTTTTTGTTTTTGTTTTTTTTTTTTTTTTTGCGCCAGAAGCATTAATATACAATTTGTTATGATATATTAATATGCAATGATTTTAAACATTAATGCATTTTTTTTATTAATCCCTCCCTTCAAATTCTGCATATATAGAATTAAATGTATACATTAAAACCGTAATTAGGGGTGTTTTAGGCATCTAAAATGCAAAATGTGTAAAGGCAAACATAATTAATGAATCTGCTTATGTAGAGCCTAGTCATTGAGTTTTATTCAGGTAAAAAGACTATATCGGGTTTTATGTAAAAAAATTTGAGTTTCAGGGGTTAAAATTATATTTTCACTATCATTCATCATTTATAATTTCAACATTGAAGTAATTTGGTTGGTTACAACTCGTAATTGCAGGGTATCTACGATTCAAATCCCAGTGGTTTTGTTACACTTGGCATTGATTCCCAAGATGTAAATAATGAGGTTGACGAGCAACGCCACGAGATAAGGGTATTAGTCTAGAGATTCTGTCAGCTGATTGGGAAAGTTTCTCTGTTTTCTCATAAAAAATAAGAACTTCATTGAAGGTGGTGTAACTTTTTCTGCAGGCTACGTCCTCAGAGTAGATCCTGTTATTCACCAACCTTGGCCTCGAGATTCTGTCAGCTGCTTTTGATCAGGTTTCCTCCACGCGAAAGCCTTACTATGCCCTAATTGGTATGCTATTGGCAATTGTGGCAGTACTTGCTTGCATCTCAGAGCTCCTTCACAATGGTATAAAGGAAAGAGTTGTATTGAGGAGGAGGGGAATGCTATGGTGTTTTTACTACCCACCTCCAAATAACATGCTTTTTGGTACTTTCCCTGAAATTTTTGGATTATGTCTTGCCATTGTTCAATGTATTTGCTCGGCAGTGCAGTATTATTTCCCCCATCGCCATGCTATTAATCCTATAAAATTGTCCCCTGTGCCTGCCGTATTCTTTTTCAGTTTGGTTGTTTTAAAATTAGTTAACAATCGGAGGTACACCGCTGATGACAACCTTCAGAATGGTGCTTAAGCAAAGGCTAGATTCAAGTGAACATAGAAAATGATTCTTAGAGAATATGATCGACTAGCCGGCACTCCTATCTTACGTCGAATCCTTAGGATGCGATTCATACCAACTCACATGCATCGGATCCCATCCAAACTCCGAAGTTAAGCGAGTTTGGGGGAGAGTAGTACTAGGATGGGTGACCTCCTGGGAAGTCCTCGTATTGCATCTAGCAGACCCCACTTAGTGGAAAAAGGCTTTGAAGAAGAAGAAAGGAAACATGCCTTGAAGATGTCACCTTCAACTATTATGAAAGCTCATATACAGCTTCTCTGTAGAAATAGAAGATCATTGTTCAATAAATTATCAAGTTTGTCAATGTTAAGTAGAATGCTTGAATTCTACAATTGTCCGATCACATCCTAGTCCTACAAATTGAGATGATTGCCATGGAGATTTTATGAACTAAAAGTTACTACAATATAATGATATTCATCTTCACTTGTTAGTGAGAGGTCTTATGTTTGACTCATGAATAGTGAATTCTATCCCAATTTCTTTGTTGGCCTATTGTGGGGCTTAGCCTTAATCCTCCACCCATTTAACGTAAAGTATGTATATGAGAAAATGATCCTGTAACTCTCTAATATATAGAACGCTTCTTCTTCCAAGAAGTTCTATATTCATAAATCAATGACCTTACTGATATTTTACATTTGTACCACTCTAGCCCTTGGTAAATAACGCCACAAAATATATACATGTGTTTGAACCCGATTTTACACTATCGGCCTGAGCAATCGAGACCGTAGAATGAGTAAAATTCTGAGCCATTGGATTGGAAGAAGGTTGAGATAATTGATTAATAATTTGTCTAGATAATATTATGATTTTAATAATCACAATGTTATCTGGGGAATTATTAAGAAGATTATTTCTAAAAATGTGGAGATAATTAAGGAGTCCAAAAGATTGAATGCTACCGGATTAAAAGATCAAAGGTGACTTAAATGTCGTGCGGCTATGCATTTTCAGAGAAGGTGTTTTGCATTTGTGCATGTGGTTGGAAGAAAAGCATGTGGCATGCATGGTTGCACACGGGCAAATAGGTGGTGATAGGCTTTGGCCTATCATGAGATAAGGAAATGGCCACGTGGAATGCATCCAAAAGATAAGAAAGGAAAAAAACATGGGCTTTTTGGAAAAATGGTGATAATACCGAAGCAAAGTTAGGTGATGATGGCTTTCTGTCAATTTGAATTGAAATCAAATTCTACTAGTAAAGCCGCACCACACATCTGCTTCTATAAATACAAGGCTGCGAACACCATTCAGAGGACCTCCAATTCAACACACAACTGCCCTGCGCAAAACCTCTCAAACATCTTGAGATTTTTTTTATTTTCTTTTTTCCGCCGACACATCTTCAGTTTGGATAAACAGCACTGTGAAGGCAACCGGCGAACATCTTCAGTTTGGATAAACAGCACTGTTGCCGTAGAATCAGCCGTTCCCGAAGCACCTTCAGTTTGGATAAACAGCACTGCGTCGAGGCCGACTTGGTTATCTATCCAAGTCTCGGTCGAGAAGGATTTTCAAATCCTTATTGGCAGAGGTCATCTCATTAGCCTTCTCGGCGAAGTGAGGTGTTACCAGGTTACTACATTCGGCACCTTGAGAGCCGAATTTGATATTGAACTTCGTAGAACTAGCAGCCTTGTCTTCAGGCTCGAGAATCCAAAGGCCGAGATTTGTTCCTTCCTCGGCCGCAGTCGCAAGATAAAGAAGTCAACAACGCGCTCAACGCAACATCAACAAATTTTACTCCTCGGCCGAGCTCGGCCGACGAGTTGGCACGCCCCGCATTCAACCGAAGGACGTAGTTAGCTTATTAGTTACTCGGCCTGCGCGCCACGTAGGCTTTGTAATTTTTAGGGTCAACATTTTGGCACGCCCGGTGGGATCCAGTGCTAAAATTACGAAGTTCATATGATATATCAAGATTCCAATCTGGCTCAACGTAGCCGATTGTACGAGCGTCTAGAGGAATTGAAAAAACCCAATGAGGAACGAAAAAGATCTTTGGAAGTGGAAAAAATTCTTCGTGGCCATACAGAGATGCAAAAGTCATTCGCTTACATGTTGAGAATAAAAGCTCCTGTTACCCTGCAAGAGCAATGGGTAAATGAAGACAGGGCTCGGTTTAATACCTGGCTAGATGGAAAATATTTTCCTTATGTTTTCGACTACAAATCGATTCCATTTGAGGAATGGTTGGTTGAAAAGACCAGGGGGCAATTTTCCGCTCCGGCCGTAATCAAATATCGGCCTAAGAAAATTGTTACTTTGGCCGAAGATCAAAGGCCACATATTTTTTCAATCGCCGCTGAAAGTTTGGTAGGCCTAGAAGAAAATGTTCCAGTTTCTGAGCCAGAAATTAACTCAGAAAATAATTCGTCAGAAAAGTGTTCCAATGACGAACAAGACCAATTCATGGTTTCAGTTGAACAAACTGCGCCAAGCGATATGATTATTGGTAATAAAGCCGACATGGAGCAATCCAATTCGGCCAAGTTGCTCGAGTTAAAAGCTGAAGTTAACGAAATAATTATGTCTGGGGGACATAATAATTGTTTAACACATTCGACGCCCGAAAATGAAAAATATATCACCAAGTCAAAAATATTTGGAGAAAGTTCTTCATTCGGCCTAGAGCGAAATCAATTTGAGAATTTTGATATTAAAAGATCTCGGCTTGGAATAAAGCATTGTTGGCCTCCTCCTATTTATGGTTCGGCCACTTTTATTTCCATTTGCTAAATTACTTTCTTAACCATTCGGCCTCTTGGCCGATACTTAAGAAAATACGGGGGGACAACGAGCATTGAGCCCTCGGACAAAAAAAAAAAAAAAAAAAAAAAAAGTATTTTCTTAACCATTCGGCCTTTCGGCCGATACTTTAAGAAATGAGGGGTTCGGCCACTTTTTTTTTGTTTGTTAATATATATATATATATATATATATATATATATATATATTGAATAAATTCTTTTCTTAACCATTCGGCCTCTTAGCCGACGCATAAGAAAATAAGGGGAGCATTAAGATGGTACAAAAAAAAAAAAAGTGTTGTTCTTTAATACATTAGCCGAGCCGAGGATGGACGTTTGTAGAAGGCCATTTGACGAGTCGAGTACAAGGCCAAGTTCACATTCGGTGGAAGTATTTGATTTTCTCAAGTATTAAAGAGGATTAGGTGTCTGCTTTGATTTCATTTGAGACAACCGAATAAAGTTGGCCGAGCCACATTAAGTGTAAAGTTTGTCAGCAATGTGTTTCCCAATGTTAGCGTATATATGTCGGCCATGCTGCAACGATACAAGCATATATATATATATATATAGCCTGTAACGTCACATCAAAATAGGCCAAAGGAGAGATGGCATGCAAATGCAAACGGCAAGTTCAAAAGTTTAATGAAAAGCCACTCACTTTAAATTGTAGGCTTCCATGTGGGCACACCCTCTCATTCGGTGGGAAAGTTATTCGGTGGAGGTTTAGATATAAGTCCATCTGTGGGCTTTTAACATCATATGTTATTCTTTTGCCGAAAAGGAAAATATTTGCAGCAATATTTATTTCTGGCTTCTGTCGAGAAGTTCCCACGCCCTTCAGACTTTTCTCTTCAGTATCTTTGACTGATCTCGGCGTCGCCTTCGTCGAGAAGATGCAGATCATTTCCAGTTCGACGATAGCAGACGTACCCGTTGCCATTTTGAGCAACCTAATGGTTCTGTTGACTGCACGACCGCAGGCTTCAAACAAGACCGAAACGGGATGTGGCCTTGAGAATCAGGGACGACAGAGCGTACATGCCTCGATGAATGTATGGTTACAGATCAATTCATGCATGCGGGTACAACTTTCTTTGAAGGAGTAAGCGGTGGGCGAGAGTCCCCGAGCCTTCGGTCCCATTTGTTTTTTTTCGACCTTCGACCCTCTTTGATTTTTCTCGGCCATCGACCCCATTTGGTTTTTCTCGGCCCTCGACCGTGTTTGATTTTTCTCGGCCCTCGACCGTATTTGGTTTTTCTCGGCCCTCGACCGTATTTGGTTTTCCTCGGTCCTTTGATAGTACTAGGCGAAGACACATCTGGAATCAGGGCCTGTCTTATTTCTTGCAGTTGACTTGCACATGCTTATTGCAGCTCATGACAATGGATCTGTAAAGGTGTTTTGTTTACCCGTGTCATTACTTGATCCGGGCTAGATTTATGTTAGGCCGAGCTCGGCCAACTCGTCAAGGCTTCTTTCAAGACATAGCAGGCTATGAAGTGGATATACCACGGGAAATGAATTCAGTTCAACTTTTGCCGAGTGATCAAGGTCGTTGAGTATTATTTTTCTTCGGCGGTGGATGCTAGTTGTTTTTTTTTTTTTCTTGATCATATATTTCTCGTTGTCACGTGGAGGTACTCAGCCGTCAAGGAACGTACGATTATTGGTTTGCGTCGAATCACTTCATTTTCGACGATACAGGGGTTCTTCGACTGCACTAATTTCCTTAACCATTCGGCTTATGAGCCGAAGCTCAAGGAAATTGGGGGGCAATGTTTGAACCTGATTTTACACTATCGGCCTGAGCAATCGAGACCGTAGAATGAGTAAAATTCTGAGCCATTGGATTGGAAGAAGGTTGAGATAATTGATTAATAATTTGTCTAGATAATATTATGATTTTAATAATCACAATGTTATCTGGGGAATTATTAAGAAGATTATTTCTAAAAATGTGGAGATAATTAAGGAGTCCAAAAGATTGAATGCTACCGGATTAAAAGATCAAAGGTGACTTAAATGTCGTGCGGCTATGCATTTTCAGAGAAGGTGTTTTGCATTTGTGCATGTGGTTGGAAGAAAAGCATGTGGCATGCATGGTTGCACACGGGCAAATAGGTGGTGATAGGCTTTGGCCTATCATGAGATAAGGAAATGGCCACGTGGAATGCATCCAAAAGATAAGAAAGGAAAAAAACATGGGCTTTTTGGAAAAATGGTGATAATACCGAAGCAAAGTTAGGTGATGATGGCTTTCTGTCAATTTGAATTGAAATCAAATTCTACTAGTAAAGCCGCACCACACATCTGCTTCTATAAATACAAGGCTGCGAACACCATTCAGAGGACCTCCAATTCAACACACAACTGCCCTGCGCAAAACCTCTCAAACAT